ACGTCCAGAACTTGCGCGTCGTCGACGGGTTCCACTCTGCCGAGACATTCCCCTCGAACCAAGGTAACAGTGTACGGGGATAGGGTGGTCACGAACATAGCGGCATTGCCCTGGGTTATTTGCACGGTCGCGAAAGGTACTAGCAACCCTTTCCTTCTGGAAGCACGGTAGGATGGCGAAACGAGTGCAATTGTGTCGGAGAGACCGGTGCAGTAGACCGATACACCCATCGTCGGCCTTGGAGGCACTGTAGTATCGTCTTTCACAAGAATCTTGCTCAGTGTCGACGGACCGTCTTCTGCCGTAAAATGCGAGATGGGCGAGAGTTCAATTTCGGCGGCGGCACAATAAATGACGGCGTCGTTGCGGGAGAGAAAATCCCATCCCAAGATGACGCCATGAGAGCATGCAGGAATGATGATGAATTGGGCGACATACAGAACGTCCTGAACGACAACGCGAGCTGTGCAGCCTGCTGTTGGATTAATACGATGTGAGCTAGCGGTACGAAGGGACAGTCTAGAAATCGGCGTCGTGACTTTTTGAAGCAAGCGGCAAAGGTTTTCGCTCATAACTGATACCGCAGCTCCAGTGTCAATAAGAGCAGATGCATGAACACCGTCCACAAGCACGTCAATGACATTATATGGGCGGCTCTGAGGGCTTTCACAATGCGATAGCGTCGCAGTCCTTGCCTCTGGGACTGCGACGACTAGTTTTCCCGCTTATGAGCGGAAGAACTTGGCCGCATGGGGGACAGAGACCGACGTCGTGGAGACGGCGACCTTCGAGCAGACGGACCTGGGTGAGACGTCAGTGGCACAGACGGCTGTTCGTCGTTATACGAACGGCTAAGGTGGCCAGCAACAGGAGAAGAAATGGGAGCCGGCTGTAGTCGAGAGCAGTAATGGGCTACGTGACTGACGTAACCGCAAGCAAAGCAGATGGGCCGGTTGTCGGATGTGTGCCATCGGTTTGCCGGGGTGGGTCTCGCCCGGAACGGTGGCTGGAAAGGCTGCATGGTGGGCTGAAATTGTGGCTGAGGGGTTGCGCCAACATACGCAGCCGGCATACCCGCTGCAAAAAACGGAGGTCGTGCGGCAGCTTTGGCGTATGTCAGTGATGCAGGCGCTTGAACGACTGGAGGCGGCCTTGCGACCACTTGGATGTAACTTGGGGGTGCAAGGGCCGGAAGTTGTTGTGGGTGGTACGCAGGCATGACCTCCGCTATTTCCTGCTCAATCACTCGGCGGATGGGTGGAAGAATAGTAGTTGCCGATTGTTTAACGGCCGGTGGGTGGGCAAAGGGAAGGAGAGAGAACTGGCGCGCGATTTCCTCACGGATGAAGGACTTTAGGTCTGCCAGCAGCGCCACCTGATCACATCTCGCCTCCAAGCCAGCAAGCCCTGCTTCTCGTGGTGTAGAGCGACGGGTCATTGAACGCTGCCGGCGGAGCTCCTCGTAGCTCTGGCACAGCGTGATGACCTCAGCTACTGTGCCTGGGTTTTTGGCTAGCAGCATCGTGAAGGCATCATCGTCAATGCCCTTCATGACGTTCCAAATTTTGTCTGATTCGGACATGCTGTCATTGGATTTCTTGCACAGGTCCAGGACATCTTCAATGTAACTGGTGAATGATTCAGCGGCCTGCTGAGCGTGTTCGCGTAAGCGCTGCTCGGCTTGTAGCTTGCGAACGGCAAGGTGGCCGAAAACGTTGGTGATAGCAGTCTTGAAATCGGACCAGGTTGCGAACTCGGACGCGTGGTTGGTGTACCACAAACTTGCAACGCCCGCAAGGTAGAACACCAAGTTTGTCAACTTGCCGTCCTCGTTCCATTTGTTGGGGACGCTCACGCGCTCGTAAATGGCGAGCCAGTCCTCCACGTCAGTGCCATCGGCGCCCGTGAAGATGGGTGGATCGCGGATCCTGGGGACACCGGGACAAGGGGGTGGCATGGAAGGAGGCGTTTGCCGAGAGGCGTCGTGGGACATGGTAAATTGCAGGGTACGTGAGCGTAGTTCTAAGGGCATTGAAGGGGATCGTAGCACTCTTCACCAATTTGTTATGGCGTTTATTAGCCGGCACACAACGAGTCTACACAATGGCGACAGTAACGGCCAAGCACGGACTCTCCACGCGAGCGGCGTTCTTTTTGTGCTGACCCACTATAAAGCACTTGAGAGTTTGACCCATTTCAGTTATCGGCGGCTTCTCTACAGTCCTTACAACAGCCTGGGAGTCAGTGTAAATGGTGGTGCGTTCAGAATCTAGTAGCGCCATAGCCACCACTACCTGTTCAGCTACTTCTGCCATCGAGGTGCAAAGTGAGGTGGATGAGAGGTCTCTGTTGTGGTCCACGATAGTGACTGAAAGTCTGTCAGCATTTTTATGACGGGCTGCATCTACGAATGCTTCTGTACCCATCAGATGCTTTATGAATGCTCTAGCCCTCATGAGCCTTCGTCCCTTAATAAATTATGGATTCATGCTGCTTGGGCATGCGTCAATAATAAAGGATTTCCTGACATGATTCTCAAGCTGAATTGCCCCACCTTTGTTAATGCCAGGTTGAAGGGCCTGCGTCGCTTAACAGGTCTCTTTCTCATTTGGTACCAGATTGTTTGTGCCATTCTTTGCGATTCTGCTAGCTCATACATGTTATTACGTACCCCTAACTTCAAAAGCGCCTCCGAACTTGTTGCTATTGGGATACCGAGCGCTTTCTTTATACTTTTACGCATAAGTGTATCTTTCCTATTCTTCTCTGATTGTGTCCAATTAAGAGCCGATACTATTTAGCTCACATGACTCATAAAAAAGCATGAGGAACCCTAATAGAGGAACCCTAATGATTTTTTGTGGCAAACGCCTTATGTCCTGTTCATGCCAGAGAAATTCTTGTTGAATGCTTTCGCCCGGGCCACAGTACAGGCGTTCCTTTTTCTGATGAGCTGCTTGGTTCATGTTGTTTTTTCCGCACACCGTTGAGCTGAGCTAAGCTGTGTCCCCAAGCTTGGTTTTGACTTTCAACAATTTCAACCGTTTTACAAAAATCAACTGCTTTTTCTAACGTGAAGTCCCACTCTCACCCCCAAGTTTCTGTCTTTCATGCCACGCGCCAGTTCTCCTCGAACTATCGAACTTTTCAGCTCTTCAAAGTCGCACAACTGCGACTTTAGCTAAAGATCGTTAAAAAACTGCTTGAATGAATTGTCTTCAAGCTACAGGCGTGTTCTAAAGACTTGGCGTTCGTATGGTTCATATTGCTCGACTACAGTGTTCCTCACACGTCTGCACAATTACATCTAGCCCTCGCGCTACTCATTCGTCAGTTGAAAGGTGTTCAAAACGTCAATTTTTTCCTGACCTGCAACGTGCAGGAAGATTGCTGCTTTCGGGGTCTTCGTCCGTTCCGGCATCCTCGTTGCGGCCTTAAAGTATAGCTTCATTCGTTAAGCAAATTTTGTCCAGTTTTCTGCTGGAGCTTGTTCGGTGAGCACCAGGCGCTCGGACGGCAGGAACGCTTCCTTGGTGGCGTTTCAGCAGGCGGGATGCTGATTTGCTTCTGACACCATGCACCGACAGGCAGACAAGAGACCCAGAACAAAAGTGGCTTTATTGTTGCGGCACCTTGTCTTTTGTATCTGGTGCCCGCCCCATGGTTGTTAGACCAGCCCACGCCATTCTGGCACTCAGAGGTCAGCAAACAAAAGTCAGACTTACTCAAGAAATATGTGTTGCGCTTTTACTTATTTGGACTCAGACTAACCAAAATTTTCCTGAGCCAGACTTACACTCTCCACAGTTTTCTTCAAGCGGACTCTGACTGAAACTTCCCAAGACATTATTGACCCGGACTCTGACTCATGGCTCGATCTGAGTCAATGTGAGTCGACCCGGGAGTGAGTTCAATAACCTAGACTGTCATAATGACACTCGCTGCAGCCATACATGCTGAAGCGTCACTCCCACCACAAAAGCTTAAGGGCAGCTAAAAGGCATTACTGCAGGGCGTTCCCTTCCAGTCCTTACTTTACCGTATTTCGAGGATAAGGTGCGGCACGCAACGGCGGTGACCAGTGCAGCCGTCACTTGTTTTCTGTGCATAGACTTTTTTATTTATTGCCTGTTCATAGGTGCGTACATCAAACCACAAGCACAACAAAAACAAGCAGTAACAGTCCGACACAAACTAAAATTCCCTAAGTGCTGCCAAGGGCTCAACCCTCGACTACCCACTCAGGTACAATCTCCCAAGTTTTCTGCAGTTCAACAAACTTGGCCATACATTCACGGAAATACATTCGTGCAGGCCGTGTATCTTGATCGCAATAAACATCTGCCATAAATTGTGAAGGCCACATAGCATAATCAAATAAAAAAGCATTCTCTCTTCGTCCACTATTGGCAGAATATACCATCTGAATTTAAAGGTAATTCCTTCTCTAACGTCCTTTGAAGTACATCTCAAAAATTTACTCCCTCCCAACAATGTAAGAAAACATGGTCTATAGTTTCCGGTTTTTCACAGATAAGGTGATTTGTCCCCAAATGTGAGTAAAAACCACGGTCTGCTTTAAATGTCCTGACAGATAATGTACCTGTGTGAAGCTTAAAGAAGAAGGACTTCGCGGCGGGAGCCACTTGCATTCTCTTCACTCGTTTAAGCACATCTTGCCCTTGACTTCCAGCGTACATGGCATGGTACCGGGGTTCTGGTAAAACAACATCACACACACATCTTTGTACAACATTTTGCGAGTCACTGAAAACAAATATTCATGGAAAAATCTCTTTGCAAAGACAAAGCTTTCTTGAAAAACACTTCGCACAAGAAAGCTCCACGATTTAGCGGCGCCGCATTAGTATTGCAATTTCCTTGTGCCCAGTTCAAAGCGTAAAAATCACACGTGTATTTCGATCACAAAAATCTGCGAGAATCAAACGAAAGGGGAAAATGTTAAGACAATGGTTTGCGCCGCAACACAAGATTAGAGTTCACGGTCGGCTGTGATCCCATCGGTCGACGGTGACGACCGTGCAGCGTGGTACGAAGCTAACGCGTGCCATGTCAGAGTCGGGCGGGCAACTGAAGATCGCCGCGAACTCGACGACGTTGCGCAGCGGCACGTTGACGCGGTAGTGCGCCGGCAGCCAGGGACCGTGTTGTTCTTGATACACCACGTCAGATGCTTCGCAGTTATCCAGGGCGTAGTAGACGAAGAAAAGCTGATCAACGCTGAGGCCAGGAAGCTGCGCGAGCCGGAAGTCCAGGTTCCAAGTACGCCGGATCTGCAAAAGCTCCTAGAAGCACAGTTCATGGCTAAGCTTCCTTAGTTCTCCAGGTGTAGTGAACTTCATCAGTAAAATTTGACTTCTTCCATCACTATCGACATTATGTTTGGAAATAAAACAGATATGGTGCTGTCTCGTTTATCTATAGACGCATTCCTTAAAGTGCGATGTCATTTGAAGCATCTTTGTTCATGTAACCGTCCATCATTAATTACGTTGGCACGTCGTCTGAAGTGTATCTGTGTCCTCATCGATCTGCAAGGCCGTCGGAGAATTATACACAATGATAGTGAGTTCTTTGTCTAATTTACATTGAATCACAGAAAAATCACACGTACACTAAAGGGGGCCGTGGACCCCATTTTCGATCGTATTATGCGTAATGTGGCTTAGTGCTTGCGCAGTCGCAAGTGAGCTGGCGTAATATTAGTGCATTTTGTCGAACACATAATTTATAGCGGAACATTTGCACAAAGACGTCAGTGGCGGTATAGACAGCCAAGATTGGTGTACTCGCAAGCCTTGACGTAACAAACACGCAAGTGTTTGAGTGTCAGCATTACGGTGAACGATACTGTTCTTTGATCAACTGCGCGTGAAATAGAGAACTTTTATCTTCAGTTTGGCCTTGACATTGATCGATTTACAGGGGCTGAAACTTTGGTAGAAGACAATGACCCCGGTCATTTCTGCTCATGACGCCTCACGCGTCATGGCAAAATGGCGGTCCCTGGTGGTGTGCGCGGTTCACAGCAGGCGACTTCCAGGGCTTGTTTTGCACTGAAATATTCTTTTACACCCACTTTTCATACCTGTATAGACATAACGGATCCTCTACTTCTATAGTTTTGGCTAAAAACTACATATTTTAGCGTGACCGTGTCGTGGTCCCTTTAACAGTGTGCAATTACCTTGATTCTTTTCGGGCTAATAGCTGCATGGTTAGATAATTATTGAGCCATAACTATGAAGCTTCATATAATTATTTTTCTATACAGAACCCGTAATTGAAATGTGAGAAGGCCGCTGCGAAAGCACATGATACATGAAAAAGTACTGCGTCTGCGCCGGCAAGTTATAGAATGAGGAATGTCGTCACAGTTCACGTTAACCCAACGTGACTTATCCAATATGAAGTTTATTTATCAAAACATTGCGTTCAAAGACGTTATCAACCATGACATGTGTTTCTGTCTGGTTTGAATAGCACCGAGAGAGACGTGTATGTAGCGACAATCGTTTCCTAATACATGCTGACACCAAAGTTTCTCAAACTTTCTGACCTTGGGAAACTCAAACGGTTTTCCCAGAGTTCTACGAAACTTTTCCTTGAGCATGAAACAACCACTAGGTGGGTTGAGATGGGGGGGGGGGTGGGGTAGGTGTTAACATTTTTTCACTCTCGCAACGAGAGTGGGCTCTTCTCTCTCTCTAATAAATATCGAAGTCCATCGCCGTTCATGTTAAATTAGTTATAGTACAAATACTTGCCATTCCCCACGCGCCGCCCCGCGTTTAGCGTGAGGGGCCTGCCAGCCTGACACTTCACGTTTCAGGCGGAGCTCAGTGTGCAATCCACTCACTCAAATTAAGTATCGGACGTACAGAGGCCCGCTTCATTAGTGTTCGGAACCAAGCTTGTCGTTCAGGATCTATCATAAAAAAAATTAGCCCCGTATCTGCATTTAATCTGCAAATGTCGTCGAAAGACGATAGTCTTGCGTGTGGAGAGAGTGAACAAAACATTTATTTGATATTATGCGCAAGAAAATTGGTGAATGGTATTCTGGAGGTGCTACGTTAGAGTGCTTCGAGCATGCAGCAGAGGCGAACGAGCGCACCAAGTCACGTCACACGTGAGACATGAGCGCCATCTAGCAGTTTTCTTAGAAAGCAAAGCACGTGGCTCTGAGACGGGTGTGCGCGCCCATCTCAGAGGTAATAAGGTGTAGAACGCAAGGCGACGGGCAGGTGTCACCACCGTCTCATCTGAGCAAAGCGTTGGAAACACTCGCCTTTCCGTGCAAGTGTTGCATGATCAGCGCAGCGTGATAAGTGCTACGGTCCTTAAAATTACTAATGCACGCCTTTTCTGGTAAGAGACGCAAATGTAGAAAATATACGTGCTGTTATGGTCCCCCAGATATGCGCAATAATTGTTATTGACGATTACACAAGCATGAACGCTCAACCTTGAGCAACATTGGTGGGCGCTGCAGATGGGGTCGGCCGTTTTAAGTACCCAATGCCGTTAAGACAGGACAAATACACAAATGTACAGACAGATAGACAGACCGAAATTTTTGCGTCGAAGGTCCCCAAGAAAGACTATCGTCTTAAAAAAAATAGCGCCACTTCGAACGCGAACAACGGGACATAAAAAGTTACGCTTCTCTCTTCACTCTTGTTTCCTGCTTTTATGCGGCTTTTCCCTTTAACAAGCGAGTCGTGCGTCTAGTTGATTCCCTGTAATAGTGTCAAGTCTTTATAACACAAGTGAAGTCTGAGCACCTGTCATGAGCATTTCGGGAACCACTTCAAATGACACGAACACTAAAGTATAATACAGTATAATATCTACAGAATAATATTCTACAGTATAATATTAGAGTTAAAACTCTGTCTAACAAGACCAGAATTTACGTAGGTCCCAAATCTAAATGAAAATTGCGTTTTTCGCAAATACATATCAGGTTCAACTTTGCTGTCAACCATAAATAAAGAAGCTATACTGGGAACCAATACGAATTTAACGAAGTTCTTTTTTAAAAGCTTTGGTAAAAAGAATCGCTAAATTGTTTTTAGTTTTTTACACACATTTCATTTTTCTTCAAGCGCGGGCGCAATTGGTGTAAAGCATCTGTCACCCCAAATTACGAGCTTGGCTTTATTTTGACACAGCACTCACACGCACGGAGCAGTGGAGTGGCCTACACAGTTGCGCTGCACCGCACCGGATCGTGCTACGTGTGGTGGTGGTTGATTTTTTCCTCACAAGGCTTATATTACTTTGTGCAACAGACCACACTGATCGCCTTTTCGCAATTTTCTTGCTCACCCTGCCTCCTGGCCGCCCTGATGGCCCACGCGTGGGTGGTCAGGTTTAACCTGAGCGTCCCTGAGTAAGCATAGCCAGGTGACGCTCAGTTACCTCGCGTCTATTATGGACCTAATAAAGTTATTTCACTTAATCACTCACCCTGCCTGCATAGTTACTGCATTCACTCTCTCTGTCCTTGCGTTTAGGACGCGTGTCGTATTTCACGTGACTGTTTACCTGACCTGCATAGGCGTGCGCTGGGTGGGGGAAGGGGGGGGGCGACGAAAATCTGCCCCATACATAAATTATTAGGGATGGGGGCGACGCCTGTCCCATACAATGACGGTAATAGGGAAGGGGGTGCTGCGACGAACCTTCATCCCCCCCTCTGATATGGAGTCCTGCGCACGCCTATGCTGACGTGCATCGCCTGGACAACATATGTGAGGCTCAATGCTCAGCACACCTGAAGAGACTTTTCTCAAGAGCACGCGTGGGCCAGCGGCAAAAACAATGCCGTGGTATATTTTGGGTGTATGTTACAACTTTAGGTTTCGATGGTCTGAAAAACCTCTGTGTTGATTTTACAAACTTCCCGAGTGAACCAATTTCAGCGTGGTAGTGACAATACGTTAAGACAAGTTTCAACTGCGATAAATTTACTCAGAATTTGAAGCACTATGCAGTAAAAATAAAACTTCATTTGGATGCCACTTAGTCATAGAATAAAGTCCGACAGGTCCTTGAAATTCTTTGAATATCCTTGAATTTTCTCCCATGAAACCTCTACGAACCCCGCAGAAGTTCAGGATTGCCTGTGTGATGTCCCAGTGATCACCACTCTTGGCTGCTCACCCGAAATCTGTGCCCGAAACAAGCGAGTTTGGTTTCGGCTGCTATAGCTGCATTTCGATAGAAGCGAAATGATAGAGGTCCTTGTGTGCTCGTATGCGCAGCAGTTCACCAGAAAAGTGCTGCCGTCAATCTGCTCGTGCTGCACACCGAAAAAAAAGCAATCTCGTCGAATGAGTATCTGTTCGTGTTTTTTTTATCTAATTCCTAACGCCCTATCCCGTAAATCACCTTGTACAAAAGGGTTGAAAAGTGGGTTAGTTAGTATAGATTCATACTTAAATACTGACAGCGCGAACTAATGCGAAGCAAAAGGATGAGACAAACAAGTGCAGGCTCAAACTCTGTTCATTCACCGACGATATTATATGCCAGGAAAACATGAAGAGAAAAAGAAAATACAAGAGGAAAGGTTCCACCGTGATCAAGTTACGTCCAGAAACAAGATTACAATATCTAAAAGCGATAAAGATGGTGAGCTGACACAACTATCAATATCTATCAATATTCTTTTTATAAAAAAGTTTTCGCAATTTTTTTTATAATTATGGTGTCCCGATGGGCGCATACTGCAGATGTGCGCTAGTTTGTCTCCTGCTTTTGCGTGCTGTTACATTGCGCTGTCAGTGTTTCAGTATGAATCACCTTACACGTCTACATAGCCACGGATACCATATCGTACTCTAGTGTTCACGTCAAACCTGCATACCTGGAAAGCTCTGAAGGCTAGCTGCACAGCAACCGTCTGCTGTAGAAACGCGCCACGTGCCGTCACCGAATTGGGAGCGACGGCCGAGTGGCTCAGACCTGCCGGCAGCTGCCGAAGTTCCCACTCGAAGCAGCCGAGTACGTCCTCGAAGCGGCGCTGTAGGTCGTCACTGTAGCGCAGAGAAGACTGGACGGCGTCCCTGTGAAGTAGCGCTTCCACCGCAGCTCGGTAGAAGCGCACGGCAAAACGCGCAAATTGAAGCGAGAAGTGGCTGGTATTAACGGGAACGGAAACGTTGAACAGCGCCGCAGGGACATAAAGACGCCTGCAGGGGGCGTCGTACGTCACCGTCGTCAGAAGCTGTGAGCGCGGCACTGGCTTCACGTCGGCAATACCACTCTTTATCAGGGGGCTCAAAAGAGTTCTCTGGCGGTTCCTCGACAAGGCCACGAAGAACTTCACCGAGCTGTCCTTCGCATACGAGGCGGAAGAGGTGGGGCAGAATGTGCTGTCGTTGCTCTTTGGCAACGTCGCGTACTCCTTGAGTAGATAGCGGGACATGACGGCTCCCATGTCGTCCATCCAAGCAAGATACTCGATACTCCGCCCGAAGCTAGTCACCAGCTGCGCTAGCTTGTTAGCGACAATGCCTCCCGAGTCTCGGAGGTACTGGCTCGAAGTCTTCGCGAAGCAGCCGGGCAAGACGCGTTCCACTGCCACCAAGCAAAGGCGACCCGTGTTTGACACGTCGGGGAGAGTCCTGCCGAGTATGCTCTTGCCAAAAAGCTGCCTGAGGAGCCGGTGCCTATCTAAGAAAAACGGTGCGAGGTTGATGAAAACCAGAAAGCCCAAATAGTTCATCACAGCTCGTGGTGGCAACTCTCGAAGTGCGGCTACTAGATGGCCCTGAAGAAAGTCTGGAGACTTGATCACTACCTTCGTTTCTTCATTGAAGAAGGAATCATTGCCAAAAGTAGCACTTAGGAGGTCGGCGATGCCAGGGTCCATGTCCGACAGCCTAACCACACTGAAGCCGCGCATGCCCATTTCTGAAAGTGGTGGTTCCGGGGGACTAGAACTGAAGCGAGTTATCACTTGCATCACCTCGTCGACAAGCTGTGGACCCCCTGAGCGGCCGACAGCTGCCATTGTTTCCACAAGAGCATCTTGGATCATGTTAGTGACCGCAGGACGGGCAGCATCGTTGCAAGAACATAGAAAAGAAGGCTTCCTCATGCCTAGAGCGACCTTTGTGGGATCTTCTGGGTCGATGGCCACGTGTACGTCCACTAGAGCATTCAAGCCAAAGTCTTTAATCAACTCACCAGCAAATGACCAGACATTTCGTGTAGATGCTAATGCCTCCGTCGGCCACTGACGTATCGTCCACTGCCGAAACAGGTCGTCCATGGCTGCAAGCGCTCTGCCTGAGAGGGTGCGGTCTTTGCACGCGTTGTACAGTTCGAGAGCTACACTGGTTTGTTTTCTCAAATCGGCTGTCAGGCTATCTATGAGATCATCCTGGATCATCGTGTCACTCGAAATAGCAGTCCCGGTTCCAGAGCTCTCCAAGTACTGACCACGCACCCACTTCTTGCACACGTGTTGGTAAAAATTGTCGCAAGGCCCCGTCGTAATACTCAAGAGGGACTTGAGCCTTTCAGCTTCTCTGTTGCAGAACTCCGTCGAGCAGTAGTAGATACCAGCTGGAGGCAACGGTGTTGTGTTTGGTTGCAAAGGCTCCCTAAAATACATGAAACATAGATAGACCAAAGCAAGGACGACGACGGAAGTGCACACCATTATTGACACGCAGCAGCATGTGGATGGTTCCGATTTAGCCACCGGTGTTACTTTTTCGGTTTTCGTCGATGCGACAGGCGCCCGCGCCGCAATTTTCACAATTTCGCTCTTTTGGTTGTTAAAAGGTGTTTCGCAGTGGCAGCGATGTTTTCGTCTTTGCCGATTGCCTACGTCCACGTCACTGCAAGGCAAGATGTATTTTTCTACTTTAGGTTGGAGGAGAACCATTGTCTGTCCGGGAAGACCATGACGATGTCTGGGATTTTTGCATGCCAAACAGTAGCTCCCTGGCCAAAATTTTTTTCGAGGCTTATGTTTTACATTCTTGCAGTAATGAACTACGCCAGTAATCAACGGGTCAGCATCCGCAATGGCAGCTGGTGGGGTTCGCTCAGTTATTGTTTTTTGCACAATGGACGCTCGCTTGGTAATTACATTAGCGCTGAAGTTTCGTATCGGAGGACTATAAGCTGAAAGTTCGTCAACCCAGTCACAGGAACAAGAAACAAATTTTTGTGGGCGTATCGGGATCACAAAAGCGTCATAGTTTGATAACTTCTCCGATCTTTCCCGATCTTTTGCAGCGTCTCTGCTACTCTCAGAAGCTGCTTGCCTCGCCTTCAAAACCCGAGAGCGACTACCTTCGGCCTTCATTGGTTCATGCGCAATTGGACTTGAGTCCGCCTTATCGCTATTTGCTGGCAGAATCATCTTAAGAGTTGGCTCCGGTTGCATTGTGATGCTGCTGCTGTCAAGAGGCTCGCTGGAGGCAATCCTAGAGTTACGTTTCACTAACGTTTTATTACTGCTTGTCACAAAGAAACACTGAGGCGTCGTGTTAAGTCGTGACGGCTCCGTGGTAAAACCTAATTCACTGTCAATCGGCAAGACAGCCGTTACTTTTTCTTCTAAATCACCCGGAACCACAGCTTTTCGCAGGAGCACCTTCTCTTGCCTTAGCATGTCCTTTGCGGACTTTGCTATGGGTAAGCATCTAGTTGATTCACCTTTGTTTGCAGTGTTTCCTACTAAAGTGGCCGCCAGAGTCCTGTCGTCAGAATGCTTTCGTGGAACATTCGTGAACCTTGACGTTGTCGACATGTCATTATGGATCGCCGAGGAAACTGAAGGCTTGCCTACAGAGCTGCATGACTTGTCGCCATTAGGTGCTTTCTCGCGACTCCATGAAGTTACCGTAACGCACTTAGATGATAAGCTATCATGTTTTATCGTCGTAGTGTCTGGCTCAATGAACTCGGTTACCACGGGAGACACCCCCTTTTTTTCTCGTGGTCCTGTCGTGGCAGTAGAGATTGGCAGATGGGCTCCTTGTTCTGGTAACACATATTCACCTGTTGAGCGTAAGTCTCCAGTGAGTCCCACGCGCTCACTGTGCCTTGAGCCATGTCCCAAAACGACGACCGTTGTGGCCAGATTAGATGAACTCTGTCGGGGATCAGTACTCCACGGTGGATTTGCCGAAGTATCACTACTTACGGCTTGGAAAACAGCAGGTATCGACCGCATTTTAGAATTGTCTAGAAGTTGCTTGCCGTCAGTTCGCGAGCTTTCATGGTCTGATTTGCTCACTTGAGTCGAGGAAGTTGCAGGGTGATGTACTTCTGGTTCTTGTAACGTGCCGTTCCTGAAAGTAGTAAGGGGCTCTTCAGTGAGTTCAGCCTTTTCGCTTTGGGTCGCACTGTTCCTTACAGTGACTGTACAATTAGAACTGGTTGGCATAGAAGGCACCCGATGCTTTCCGAACAATCTTCCAAATAAATTAGAAGGCCAAAGGCACATTTTTAAGGTGTCATGGACACTTAGCGAACCCAAAGAAGACTGCACGTTTTTACTTCTGCTGGTCTGAACGCTTGTTTTCGCTGTGCGCTTTGCAAGCGTGGGATAACTGGATGCGTTAGTTTGCAAGCGTCCTCGATATTTATAATTGCATGACTCCTTGAAACTTGAAATTAAAACAAGCCTGCGTCTGGATAACGAAATCCCTCTTGCCAGAATACACTGGTTGGAACAGCCAGTGCTATCGGTTAGTGGCTTTTCTTCAAAGGTATTTCTGCTGTCTTTCTTCGGGTCTGCTTTGTCGGTGCACTTGGCGGAATTTTGGCCTACGCTGCGCAGTTGGCACAACTCCACTGGAAACTCTTCCTGAGTTTGTGCAATTCTGGAGCAAGAAGGCGCTTTTGAAGAGACGTCTGCAAGTGATTTTGAAGTGGGCAAGCATGGACTGTGGTTGGTGTCGTGGCGAAATTGCGGAGCGTGAGCCTCAGTCGAAGCTATGTCGACGTTCTGAGTTTGTGTGCTTCTAGCGCGAGAGATCCGAACCTGCGTGGTTTGGGTTTCAGCGCACTTCGTTTTCACGTCTTCTCGCATGGGCAAGTACAGCACACTTGTACCTGTTTGTGCACTGCACGAGACTGGCGAAGCAAAGCCTGGCGCTTTCTCAAATTTAAAAGCTGCCGTATGAATAGATGTGTCGGTTGTGCAACTGCCGCCAGCTGCTGTAACTTCTAAATTGGTTTTTTGAAGAGGCTTGTCAAAGTCTCCTGACCTACACCACGAGTCTTGGAAGCTAAACGAAGCGGCATTTGTGGCATGGGCAAGAGTTGAAGAAGGCAGTTGGAACGTCGAAAGCTTACCACACCTTGACGGCTTTAAGTGGCTAGTGTGCGCGAATGCCTCCACACTGCAACGGGGCTGCCACTTTTCCGTAAAGCCAGAACACTCTAGTGCTTCGTGGGTCACGGTCTGCCGTATTTTATATGGAGAAACAGTTGCACAATCTCGTGGTGTCGCTACATGCCGGTCGTCACTGCAAGGCCCAGTATTTGACGTTTCAGCACGTGCAGATGCGACTTTCAAAGCTAGAGGCGAGTCTGATGTTGCCCTTGCGTAACGACCATCACCACGTGTGGAAAGTAAGGAAATTGCCGCGCTTTCGCCATGAAGGTCAGAGGCATCTGCTGAAGCCGCTGTCCTAGAATGCTACATCCCGTGTAATAGCTGGGTGGTGTCGCCTTCATAAATATTTTTCTCTACCACGTCAGTGCAATCTTTGGTGGGCAGATCATCTATGACTTTGACATCGCTGTCCGTTTCCATTGCATAAATGCTGTCCACTGATTCGCGCCTGTCTTTAGGCCGCGATAGGATTATGTTATTGATGGATCTCTGTTTGCTTTCACAACACAGCAGTATAGAGGAAGAGTACGTCCTGGATTGTTCTTCAGCGTTTTGGTTTCCTTTGTCGTCGAAAGCAAGAACAGCGTCTTCATTCCTTTTGGCGTAGTGATGTACACTGCGCCGCCCCCAAAACAAAGCCGTGACGAGGTTCCTTAGCATTGTCGACACCTTGTTGGTAGTCGCATTGTCTCGATGGACAGCGCACAAATCATCGATGGATTGCCTGACAGCAATGAGCTGTCTTTTTGGTGAACCTTCTTTCGAACAAGATGTGTGGCCAGTGTTTGCCTGGGGCAGCCTGGAGTCGTCGTCACGCTCCTTTCCGCGTAAATCGCTTTGAAATGTGTGCGTGATTTGAGAGCACTGGGCACCGACTGATTCTTTCGGAAATGTGTAGTTCCCCGAGAGCCACATCACCGAGCCGCCATCATTGTGAGGGCCTTCCTGCTGGTGTTGTCGATGCCTCCCAGCCTTCAATATTGCGTGGCTATAGCGATGTGTGTTCCCTGGGGGCTGCAACAAAATAAACAAAGTTGCTTGTTTATTTTTCTGGAACATCCATTCTCCGTACGAACAACAACAGGTCCCTAAACTCAGGAGCAGGAGATGCACCTGCGTTGGGGATTGCACGGCACACTAATCCTCGTGCCTCGCTACGCGTCATCTCGTTGAGGGTACGCGCGGCTTTCTACACTGACCACGTGAGCCCCGGAACCTAAGTAACTGTATGCGGAGTGATGTCCTTACACTTCAGGAGTCTGTAAGCCAGTTCTGCAACAAGTCTCCTTGAGAAGGCTTTAATCGTAAAGTGAGAGTCACTAAAGACTAAAACTCTGCATGAATGAGTGAGTGCTAGATCAATAGCCACCTGCTCAACGGTACCTGTATGCTGCTGCGCTTGATTAAACTCCAAAGAGCAGTGGAAGGCACCCACATGACGGCGCCCCCGAGTTTTTTAGGCTCTGAGTGTCGTTGAGGTTGCAAAAGATGTAACGGAATAGGGACCCTCCTCTTTTTTTTAGAATTAAATAAGAATGTAGCGGGTGTAAAGCAGTGATTTGCTTATACTTCAGCGACGCTTGCGTTCACGGGCTGGCGTGCCACAAGTGCAGTCTTCTTGCTGTCCATGACGGGAAAAGAAACCTCTAGTTGTGATAAAGTTAGTGTGTATGCTACCTTTAGGTTGCAGAGTTGCACCAAGGTAGCCATGTAGAGTTCTATCACCATGCATAAAAGCCCCTCTCCGTCTACATATAGCAGCCACAGTCACGAGACGTTGCGAGTACTTTTTTGCATTTTGTAGTTTTTGTAATTTTACTAAAGATAAATTGGTCGGATCATGTTTGCAAGCCACGATTTTACTTTGATACTTTTACTTTCTATCGTACCCAATATTGCGTGTGACCAACGCAGCTGCTAAAGCAATTTTTCCTTTTCGCATTTCCATTTACCGCCGAGGCAAAATATACCTGGTATCCCCCCTCGCGTTTGTCTCCCTTGCGGTAACTGTGGAAAATGATATATTTGTAGTCAAGAATGTTTAACCAAAGCAGGTGCGGCAGCAATAAACATGCATAATTGCGTGCATTTACACGCAATCACGGCTCTAAAACATGAAAATGCGAATATGCAATTCAAGCGCGCTGTCGCATCCAACATTGTGCTTCAAGCATGGAACTTGAGTGTGACTGAGGTAACTAATCAAGTAACTTACCACACACTAGAATTCATTTTTTTTCGTTTGTTTGCGTTCT